GGGGGGGCAGTCTGCAGGAGATCCTTCCTGCCCACAGCTATCAGCATCTATAACAACTTCAATTCAATTCAGTTTATTTATACAGCGCCAAATCACAACAAAGTTGTCTCAGGGCACTTTAGAGAAACATTCACATACACAAAAGCCAATTAGTAAAGCTCTCTATCTAAGGAAGCTCTTGAATGAAACCAGGATGATGAGCTGCAACAACACTTAATTTCCCTCTGGAATTAATAAAGTATTTTTGAATTTGAATTGAATTTGAATTGAATTGAACAGTCAGGTGCAGTGAAACCTAATCTTGTCAAACCGAACCTGCACATGCTACTCATGCGACACTTTAGAAGCAACTTCAACCCAACAGGAGTGTTTGAACCTGACCAAGGCTTGGCCAAGAAGCGGACACACTGGAGACATGGCAGAGAGCAGCTGTTCATTATCATTACTGCTGCGCACCAGGACATTGGTCCACCTGATCGCAGGGTTCTGGAGACAAATGGACCGCTTGTTCTCCAGGGGGTGATTGGCAGTGTGCTGCAGCTTTCAGTATCATGCAGCATCAGTGAGATTGGGAGAAGGGGGGGGGGGGGGGGTGACATGTGGCTCAGGTGTGCTTCAAAGAGGACATGCACCCTCCAAATCCAACAAGGTGTTTTAGATGTTCTTCTCTGTATCTTGAAGAGGCGAAGCTTAAAATACATTACAAACACGCATGATGTGCAAAGATGATGAAAACAGGAAGTGTACATATTTTTCACGTACAATGGACACCTGTTGAACACCTGTTCACCAGGCTGCCTTTTTCTAGTGTTCAGGTGTACTCAAAGAAAAGGCGACTCACGTTTCAAAGCTTTCTGACTCTGCTGATTGGCCAGCTTCACTACTTCCTGGATATCGGCCAACCACAGTGCAGCTCCTGGCTCTCTGCTCACCTGGTTGGAAAGAAAGCACAGCAGGTAATTAAAATCAAACCTGACCACTATGAACCAGGTCATCATGGGTTGGTAATGGCAGAATGTGGGGTGGATGGAGGTCACCTGTTCAACCTGTGTAGTTACCTGGGCTTTGTGCTGTCTCGCTCCAGTCAGCAGAGTCAGGTATTGACAGGCGTTGGCAGGTAAGACCTCCTCCATGCCACAAGAGGGCAGCATGAGTGCAGACATCAGCTGCTGGACACTTCCACTCCTCACAGCTTTGTTTATCAGCTCAACAGCAAGGAGCTCTGTCACACAGGTAGGTACACACAGGTAGGTACACACAGGTAGGTACACACTGGTAGGTATACACTGGTAGGTACAGACTAGGGCTTTAACAGACTACTCGAGTAATCTACACATCGATTCCTAGGACACCTATCGAGTTTTTTAATTTCACGTAGAGTATTCGTGGTGACGTTATTACGCCGCCGTTACATCATTGTGTTACGCATCACGTGATCCGCACCGGGCGCGGGTTACAAAATGGATTCCTCCAAGCAGACGGATGGAGCAGAGCAGGTCCAGTCTTGACAAACGGGTAGAAATGCATCAATAGTCTGGAAATATTTCACTAAAGATGAATCTTCTGGTTCAACAACCGTAAAGAAACAGAAAATGAAACAACTTCTTGACTGTTTGGAGTGCGTTGCGAACCGGTGTTACACCATATTTTGTGACCACCGTATATTGTGACCGTAAGGGGCAGTGTTGGCACTGTTGCAGGTCACAGAATATGGTGTAACACCGGGTCCAATCGACCGAACCAGAACCAGCTTCCTCTGACCTTGTTTCACAAACAAAAAGCAAACAATATTAATCTCTATACCTATTTAAAAAATCTATAAACATATTAATCTCTAAAACTAAACTTAATGCGTACCACAGCTGGCGGTGTTGCAGGGTAGTCGATCCCCCCACTGGCTTTTATTTCGTTTTTGACGTGCCGCACGTTTCTTCACTTTTGCAGCTTAATAATAAATAATAGTTAAGTTTTTCCTGTGACTTATTTGCTGTATGATAAATGGTAGGAGCATAATATATGCTCCCAATGTTTTGTTGGTCTTTTTTTGTAAACAATTACCTTTTTTGCGGTTTTATTTATTTATTTATTTTTGTGTCTTTAGATCCTATGATGTCATCAAGTATTCGAGTTCTACTCGAGTTTTATTATGTTCATGTCGAGTTTAAAAATTATGTAGTCGTTCAACCCCTAGTACAGACTGGTAAGTACACACAGGTAGGTACAGACTAGGGGCTGAATCGATTCTAGGACATATCACAAGTTTTTAAGTTTCATGTTGACTAGTCTAAGTCACATGATTGTGTCGCCGGGCTAGAGCTGACATTTCGAACCCGTGCACAACCCAACCCAAAAATTCGGGCGGGCTGGGTCAAAATAATGTGCTGGATGGGTGGGCTGTGTCGGGCTTGATTGCATCAGTGGATACATGCAGCCGATGATCCAATTTGGATCACAAGCTGCCCATGGCTTTCTGACTGCGCGCTGACCGACTGGTTGATTGAAGTAAAAAAAAAAAGAAGTCCAGATGGCTCACTGCCAGCGACCCACCTGAAGCTTAACTGGACTGGACCCAGCCACACCCCCATTTTTAGTTTGATTTTATTTTATCCAAGGTGGTGGAATGCAGCAGCACCCGCCTCCTGTTTTTAGTTTTGTTTTTTTATGTGCCGCATGTTTCTTTCACTTTTGCAGCTTAATAAAAGTTTTGACTTTCCTGTGACTTATTTGCAGTATGATAAATGGTACGAGCATAAATATATGCTCCCAATGTTTTGTTGTTTATTTTTATTGTAAATAATAAATTACTTTTTTGTGAAAATGATTTAGCGTCTTGAGTTCCTATGGCGTCACAGTGACTAGTCAACATTGACTCAACTTTTATCATGTTGAAGTCGACCTTAAAAAATATGAAGTCGTGCAACCCCCAGTACAGGCAGGTAGGTGCAGACAGGCACCATATGTTCTGGCGTATGTCACAGTTTTTTTGCATAGATTTGCCAGTCCTGCGACTTAATACACCGAAGCGACTTCTGGTTTTTTTCCTATTCATGACGCAATTTTTGACTGACGCTTTAAATGTTCATTCATACTGACATGAACCAGAGTAAACATTACCATCTGCAGCCACTAGAGGTGTGAGAGGGCCCTTTAGTGGCTGACAACTACCGGTATGCAACGTATATGTTGTTCCTGTACCGCTACCCCCTTCCAGGCGCAGCGAGGCACATGGTCCGCGGCCCTAGGAAGCGGCGAGGTGCAGGCGGGGGAACGCTGTAGAGCTTGCAGCCAGAGCTGAGAGCCATCTTCATCCCCGCTCCAGCAGCAAAGCAGGGACGAACACCTGGAGCAAAACTTTATTTTCTCAGGGTCAAAACAGCTTCATTTCGCCTAGGCGTTGCACCACCCAGGCAAAATGAAGCTGTTTTGACCATTAAAGTGCATTTATTAAGGAAACGTTAAACATAGACACAACTTTGCTGTAATTCAAGGATTCAAGGATTAGGGGACCTAAAATAGAGGCCTGTGGAATCCCAAAACAGAGGAGCAGTGGAGGATTCAGAACCAGCTATGTTGACAAACATGGTTCTGAAAAACCTCTAGGATATTGTGCTCATCCAAAAAACATTTGACCTGTGAATAAACATTTTTTTCAAATTTTTGAACTAAAAGGTAGCTTGGAGATGGGGCTAAAATTAGCCAAGACAGTTTGGTCTAGGCTAGGCTATTTAAGCAGGGGCTGCACCACCACATTTTTAGTCAAGTCAAGTCACATTTATTTATATAGCGCATTTAAAACAGTAACTGTTATCAAAGTGCTTACCACAAAAGACTGCAGCATCAAATATTAATACCAAGATGTAGTGAACTAGGCCTCCGACCAAAACCTGCCTCTGAAGACCTTCATGGGACAGGAACTGTTATTTCATTGATTTGAATCCAGAAATACAAATTAGCTCATCCAGAGACTGTCTAATTGTATCCTGAAGTAATCAATTGAAAGAACACTCTTCTTTTTATATTATCATTACTATTTTACAATTTCTTGATAATCAAAGTGTGTTTAGTTCATATCATTTCTAAAATTGAAGTGAACCACTCATTTTAAATCAACTGTGAAACAGTATTAATGAATTTTTTTAATCCTCATTTAAATTAGAAATCAAGTTAAATGTCTATTTACAAAGTAATTATGCATTTTGATTTTCTGTCTAAAGGAGAAGTAGTGATGTCGGTCAAAAGTCAGAGACAGTCAGAAAGAAGTTATTAGAACAGGCTGTATTGTTTTTAAACCTAGCAGACGGTAAAAAGAGAAACACTGGCACCTGCGTTCCTCTCACTTCGCCATAACATTTCTCTGTCTGTATTAAACGTTCCTAAACATTACTGAATGCTCTGTTGACTTTTAATAGCCCTCTGACATCACTAGAACCACCCCCTGTTGGTTGTTTCAACCAATCAGGGAGTCCTAAGTGACCGTAAGTGGGAACTCTTTAAAAGTCCACACTTTCTGGAACTAGTCAGTGTAAGGGTCCCACTGCCTGCAGCCTGCCTTGCTGATGGCCGCTGATTACCAACACCTGGCGGCCATCAGCCTGATGAGCCTCTCCATCTACAAAAGGCTGCAGCCCAGTGTGACTCATCGCTGGAGCATATCACCTCTCATGGTATAGTACTGTTGAGCTAGATATGTCTAGGTGAAAAGAATTTGTTCACCTGTGTTCTCTTTTCCAGTTTCCTGGTTCCTCGTGTTTTTGGATTCTCCTCGTGACCTGATCTGGATCCCTCGGCCTGTCAGGTATTCCTCGTGCCATTTTTGCCTCCAGTTGCCAGCCTTCCTCGTTCCCTTGGACCCTCATTGGATTCCCCTCTGCTGCTCTCTACCTGGACTGAAGGACCAGCTCCCCTCCTTCGGGTTTGGACTGTAAGGACAAAAATCTCCTTCAAACCACCACTCAGGTCTTCCCCTCTGGACCAACATTAACCTGTCGTCCCTCTTTCCAGGAGTTGCTGAGAAGCCGTGTTTCTACATTCACTGTACATAATAAACACTGTTCTTTTTGTACTTCCCCTGTGTCTGCCTCGTTCTGGGTCTCAAACTATCTGGGTTCCCAGCGTAATCGTAACAGAAATGCTCCAGCCAAAAAAGACCCAGAATGAGACCAAGAGCGAGCAGACAACCCCTGGTTCCCCGGAGGAAGGGATAGACGGGTTGGGCAAAGTTCTACATCAAGTGCTGACTCACCAAACCACAGTCCAGTCCAACCTTCAGGAGCTCGGAGGTATGATTTATTCCATTAAACGTCAACTGCAAGCTTCTGCCTCCTCAGCTCTAGTCGTTCCACCAGCCCCCGTGGCTCCTGGTCCCACTCCTCCTGTTCAACAAATATTCATTAAACCTTCTGAGTTCTTCACCAGAGACCCTGACCAATGTGGCGGCTTCTTGCTGCAGTGCAGAATCGCCTTCGAGGGGGCTCCCTCTCAGTTCTCCTCGGACGAGCCAAGGTCACCTTTTTCTTAAGTCAGCTCAAAGGTAACGCTCTCCGGTGGGCTCACTCATTTCTTCTGAGCCATGATAATCCCCCTGCTACCTATGAACTATTTCTGCGTGAGTTTCGTAGGATTTTTGATTGCCCCCTGCAGACGTCGAACACCGCCAAGCGTTTGTTGAATTTACGACAGGGCCGTCGTAACGCTTTGGAGTTCGCCCTGGAGTTTCGGATACTTGCTGCCCAAACAGGATGGGACGAGCCTGCCCTCCAAGGTATTATTGGTAATTTTGTTTTCGTCTACCTCGACGATATTATCTTTTCTCGCGACCCCTCTCAGCACACGGCTCACGTCCGCACGGTTCTTCAGCGGCTGCTGGAGAATCAGTTGTTCGTTAAGGCGGAGAAGTGTGAGTTTAATACCTCCACCGTCTCATTCTTAGGTTTTATTTTTGAGGGCGGACGTTGTCGAACCGACCCCGAGAAGACCAGGGCGGTAGTCGACTGGCCGACCCCCGAGTCCAGGAAACAGTTACGTTTCCTGGGCTTCGCGAATTTCTACAGGCGATTTATGAAAAACTATAGTCGTGTCGCCGCCCCCCTTTCTCAGCTCACTTCCACCGCCCGAGCCTTTCACTGGACCCCAGAGGCCGAGTCCGCCTTCAAGAAACTTAACTCTCTCTTTTCCTCCGCACCCATCCTCTCCCACCCAGACCCTACGCACCAGTTCATTCTGGAGGTGGACGCCTCCGACACTGGGGTAGGGGCGGTCCTTTCCCAGCGATCACCCTCGGACAATAAGGTTCATCCCTGCGCCTTCTTTTCTCGACGTCTCTCCCAAGCGGAGCGCAATTACGACGTGGGCAACCGCGAGCTGTTGGCGGTCAAGCTCGCATTAGAGGAATGGCGGCACTGGTTGGAAGGCACCGAGACCCCTTTTTTGATTTGGACGGACCATAAGAATTTGACCTATCTTAGGAACGCCAAGCGTCTGACACCCCGTCAGGCCCGTTGGTCGCTTTTTTTTAATAGATTCAACTTTGTCCTAACTTTCCGCCTAGGCTCAAAAAACGTCAAGCCTGACGCCCTGTCCAGGCAGTTTGCCCCTCCTGACTCGTTTGAGGGCTCCAATAACATTGTTCCCCTCACCTGTATTGTTAGCTCCCTCTCCTGGCCCATCATCGCTACCGTTCAGGAGGCCCTTGTCTCGAAACCCGATCCTGGTGGTGGTCCCCCAGTACCCTCTTTGTTCCTTCCAGCGTGCGGTCCGACGTACTCCAGTGGCTTCACTCGAACAAGCTTTCTTGCCACCCTGGAGTCAACCGCATGCTCGCCTTCACAAAGACTCATTTTTGGTGGCCCTCCATGTCCAGAGACATTAAGGACTTTGTTTCGGCCTGTCCCGTCTGTGCCAGAAACAAGTCTGGTACACAACCTCCGGCTGGCCCTCTGCTTCCCCTCCCGACCCCTAGTCGCCCCAGTCCCACATCGCCCTTGATTTTGTGACCGGTCTTCCCCCATCTGACGGCAACACCACCATCCTCACGGTTGTTGACCGTTTCTCCGAGGCCGCTCACTTCGTTCCCCTTCCTAAGCTCCCTTCTGCCCTTGAGACTGGTCACCTTCTTACCCTCCATGTTTTCAGGCTCCATGGGATTCCTTCAGACATCGTCTCCGACCTAGGCCCGCAGTTCATCTCCCAGGTCTGGCACTCCTTCTGCAAGTCGCTCGGGGCGTCCGTTAGCCTTACCTCCGGCTACCATCCTCAGGCTAACAGGCAAGCTGAGCGCTGCAATCAGGAGTTGGAGTCCACCCTGCGTTGCCTGGTCGAGTCCAATCCATCGTCCTGGAGCCAACACTTGGTTTGGGTGGAATACGCCCACAACTCTCTCCGTTCCTCTGCCACCGGTATGTCCCCCTTCGAAGCTTCCCCTGGTTACCTTCCTCCTCTTTTCTCCAGTTCTGAGTCTGACTGCTCGGTCCCGTCCGTGCAGCACCACTTTCGGTGGTGTCGTCGCATCTGGCGCCAGGCCAAGGCGGCCCTCCTTAGGACCGCGGCCCAGGCAAAACGGTTCGCAGACCGCCACCGTTCAGAGACACCCACCTACCAGGTCGGCCAGCAGGTTTGGTTGTCCACCAGGGACATCAAACTGCGTGACACTCCCCATAAACTGGCCTCCCGCTTCATTGGTCCCTTCCCCATTACCCGCATCATTAACCCCTATGCGGTCCGTCTCCAACTCCCCAGGGCCATGAGGATTCACCCGACCTTCCACGTGTCCCACGTGAAGCCCGTCTCCCTCAGTCCCTTGTGCCCCCCTTCTGACCTCCCCCCGCCGTCCCGCCTGATCGACAACCACCCTGCGTTCACCGTCAGATCCATCCTGGATGTGCGACGCAGGGGTAGGGGTTTTCAGTACTTGGTCGATTGGGAGGGGTACGGTCCTGAGGAGAGGTCATGGATCCCCAAGTCTTTCATCCTCGACCCCAGCCTCATCTCCAAGTTCTTCAGAGACCACCCCAAGAAGCGCCTCAGGTCGCCTGGAGGCGATTCTTGAGGGGGGGGTACTATAAGGGTCCCACTGCCTGCAGCCTGCCTTGCTGATGGCCGCTGATTA